CAAAACCCATGCAAGCATAAGTCAGACAATCCCAGTATAGTTGGGAAATGAATAAGAAGCTCCAACCTTAGCTGAGGAGCTACTGCCAACCAATAACTGCTGGGAGAGGGAGAGCCAGTTTTCTTTAAGGGTGTGATGCTAGATAGATTAGCCAGGCTCTAGTGGGTAGATGTATACCAAAGGACATTTGGGGCACAAACTCAATTTGATAGGCTCTTACAAGACAGAGTACATGAAACCTGGTGGGGGAGGTATAAGCGGTGCAGATAGGGAGGGGTCTAAAGCTAAACAAAATATATGAAATTTGCAAAAATTCAATAAAAATATTTTTAAAAAAGAAGGCTTCAGTTGAAAGCTATCACTCATCTCTCTTGACTTCCTGACTGAAGAGGCAATGTGACCAGGTGCCTCAGGCCTCTGCTGACATTCCTTCCCCACCAGGATGGGCTATATCTTCTTGAAATTTAAATGTGAATAGGCCTTTCTTCCTTTAAGCTGCTGTGGCGAGGTATTTGATCTTTGTTCCTGTTGCTGTGATAAAAGATCTTGAGAAAAGCAATTTAAGGGAGAAAGGGTTTATTCTGGTCTACAGGTCGATGTACAATCCATCCTGTCAGGACGAGGTGGCAGAAGCTTGAAGCAGCTGGTCACATGACATCCACAATCAGGAAGCAGAGTTTGTTGCTTTCTTTAACATTCCTTTCCCACATCTCTGCTTTCTGCTGATGCTCACTTGTGTTTGATTTGCGGAACCTTCCACTGAGTGATGTCTGAATTTGTCTTTATTAGGTACTAGTCTTTATTGATGTATCACAGTTTCCTCCAAATTGAAACATTCCCTTCAGGAGCAAGGGGAATGGGGGAAGGGGGCCCATGAGACTCAGGAGGTGAAAAAAACAAAAACAAAAACATCAAATGTCTGGCAAAGTGGAAACTTGCAAGATTCTGGAAGGTTCCTCCCTAACTTTATAGGAGTAAACAACTACAGAGAGAGGACACTCTGGTCAAGCTGTAGAAAGATCTGCAAGTTGTACAGAGACCTCGAGGGATACAGCTTTCATGAGTCATCACCCATTTTGGGGTGTGGTTTTCAGTGATGCAGCTGCTTTTGAGTCATCCCTTCTCCTGTAAGTAACCCTTTACCCATATTCCTGTTAGTAACCCCAATAAAAACTCACTGGTTTGCCAAGTTGGACTTTGTTGCAGTCATTGATTAGGCCTGTTATGGGCTCGTTTTCTGAGGTGAGTAGACATGTACCTGTTGTGTCTCCCTAAGAAAAGTCTCTCACACAACAGCTGCCCCCTCCAACCTCCTCCCCTTCATTAAGATACTCTTTGCTCAAATGCGAATCTCAGCTGTAACTCAGCATTAGGGAAAGGGCTCCATTTAATGCCTCTGTGCCAAGAAAATACACCCTGTGGGTAAGAGGGCTAGTGAGGTTGGTGTGTATTGTGCTTAAATATATATGTGTATATATTTAATATAATAATCATAATCTATAAATATAGATTAATTGCTGGAGTCCAGCTCCGGCTGAGTCCGAGGCCTGAAGGGGTGAAGGTAACTGCGGCAGTAGAAATGACTGTACCAGAAACCACAATTGCAGTTCTTAGTAGAGGCTGTTGACTGACCCTCTCAGGGGGAGGTCACCCTGAATGTCTTTTACTTCTCTTCTTCTTTTTCTCTTCTGAAAGCAGCCTT